ATTCACTGTCAAAGTCTTGTGCCCATATGGTAGTTCAGCTACACAGTATTACACAGGTGGTTCTAATGTTAAAATCTTTCTCCTGAGATACAAAGTTTTGAATTATCAGGTGCCATGATAACTTACAGATCTCACTGTACCATATTATCCCAGTAGAGCACTTTGATAAAAGACTGCAGGCTTGCTTGTCGTTCCTAGAGCCTCTAAAAGTAGAATGAGAGGCAGAGCCTTCAAGTCTCAGGTTCCTTTCTTGTAGAACCATTTACACTTTGGATATAGGAGACAGACAACCCTTGTATTTTTAAGGTTAGCCTTAAAGTCTTCCCTTTTGAAGCATCCTTAGTTGTGCATCTTACATCAGACTGTTGGAGGCCTTCCCATGATAGGCGCAGCATTTCTGTTCCACTCTCCACATGTGCCACCGCTGCACGTCAGTTACAATGCCCTCTCTCTCCTGTGGTCTGTGTTTTGTTGATCCTTCTTCTTCTTTTATGTTTTTTCTTTAACCTAAGAGCTTGGATCTGCTGAATGTTTCTTCCTATTAAACAGGAGTGATTTTTGGACTTCTCTCTCTGGCATTGTATGGCCTAGCTGATTATATAAAGCACTTTGAGGTGGGTGGTGTTGTGCATTGGCTCTGTAATTGAACTAGGTAATTATTCTGTATGTAAAAACTAAAAAAATAAAATAAAATAAGAGAACCAATAATTTATCTTGTATTTTTAAAGTTTTTTTTTTTTTCCAAAATCATTTACAAAATGACTGCATCCATACTCAATAGTTTTTTGGGTACAAAATGTTAGTTTTCATCCTTTGATTAAACTCATTGGCACAATCGGGGTGTGATATTACACCAGACAGAGATGTGAACAGGCAAAGGCATTCCCATGGTTTTCCAGCCTATTCTATGGACTAAAATTGACTAGAATTATTATTTTAGTTTAATCAAATCTCTCCATTGTGAACTAAAATGGCTCAAAATGATCAATATATTAAAAACATTTGCTCTCTCTGGAAAAAAACCCTCACTCACTATCAGAAAACATCTGATCTTGTGGTTAGAGACAAAAAATATACTTGAAACATCAGTACAATAGTCTACATGTGTGTGAAAGTAGTCCCTCTTGCATACCTTCATGCTTTGATGTATCAAATAAAAAGTTAAAGTCTTACTTTCCTGCAAGATAACTGAAACCATGTTTACACGACTTCACAGCCTTTATTCAGACTGCTGGCCACGGGCTGATTTTTCATTCAATCATTTTTACATCCGTTTCGCATTTGGAAACAATCATACACGTGATTACTGCTAGAAGCTGTCAGTCAAAACACCCATGTGCTGTACACCTCCACATGCCTCAGCTGTGTGATTTCTGTGACACACACACACACACACACACACACACACACACACACACACACACACACACACACACACACACACACACACACGTCCAACTTAACTTCCTCCCTCTCTTTTCTTTTCACCTGCTGACGTGCAGAGATTTCCTGCTTCCAATTCCCCTCCACAAATCTGCAGAAATAATGAAGTTCACCTGTTTAAACAAATCTACATTTTATTATTTCAGCAGTACATATGCAGCATTTTAGTGGCACATATAAACAGTACACAAAGTAAAAAGCTCTGTGAGTTTTCAGGTGAAATCTTTTTTTTAATTCCTAAGCTCTTCTATCTGTTACGAGCAGCACAGTGTTATAAAAGATACACAGAACACAGCCAAGACATTAAAGTCCACAAGGACAGTTTTTTTTTTTGCTGTTAAATGTAATTAAATGAAAATGAGAAAACATTACAAGATGGTTGCAATATGTGGTCACTTCCAAGGGTATTTCTGAGTAATGACATGAGGGTGTTTTTGTACTCAAACTATTATCTGAGATCAGAGGAGTTGCTAACTAGCCAGTTAATCACAGCACAACAGTTTTGCTCTGCTGATGTCTAACACACTGCAGCTCAGCCAGTTACCTTGAACTGAGTCAAAATAAACATAACCAAGAAAAGAAAGCCCACAGTAGAAGACACTGGTTTACATTTTCTGCCTGATAAATTGTACCCATAAGGTAGTAGTGTATGATTAGCCTGCAATGTATTCACCAGCAGATTAGATTCATCTGAGGTAAATTTAAGCTCTTCTCTGCAGTTGCTGTTTTTGGAAGGCCTCAACCTGTTTTTAAAAAGTGCTCTCAAATACTCTCATCATTTGTAGGACTTATATAAACACCCACGGTTTGATTCCCTTGAACTAAAGTATATGATGCTGTTGTTCACCAGTATGTTCAGTTTTTCGGGTACAAAGAAAGCGTGGGTCTCCTTTCACCTTTGCCACTCCTCCAAGTTTTCTCTGGCATGTCTGGGCGTCCTGCCTTCTTCTCACAACATACCTACATTTGTGATTTTCAAGCTTTCTGAACCAAAGAAAAAGCAGCGCAATGGCCCCTAATGCATAATAGAACAATCAGATCCTTTCACTATATGGGGTTCAGTGTTTTATTTTGTTTGTTTTATTTTGTCACCAATCTGCAGCTCTTTTTATTTAGAAATGTCCAAAGAAATTAAGTCTGATGAAAAATACAGAGAATATGATCTGAACAAATCAATTTCCCCCCCAATTCAGTCTTACATTCACTGAGTTTTAAAAAAATTGCATTTTTTTGTCCCTTTACTTCCTGTTTGTTAAGTTGGAAATGAAATGGCACAAGATTTAAGCTGGAAACAAAAGCTGAAGAAACTGCCACTTGGATGCTATGATATACTGTAACTTTAATTAAAGAAACATGTTAAAATTACAAATAACAAAACATGTATAAATACTGTAGTATGCTACAAACCGCCATTTATTTTTGAAAAAACTAATGCCAGTACAAAATGATTTACAAAAAAAAATTCAACCTGCTTTTGCTTGTTTTTATGGTTAACTTAACATATCGGTTTTTTCATAAGGAGATGACAAACAAACAGAAAAAATATGGAAGCAGTCAAGGGTGTTATTTCTGGCTGTTGTTTTACAAAGGAAGTAATAACTCTGCAGCCAAAGAACTGAATCTGACGCCTCTAGAAGATAAATGAGAGACATCAGGACCAAACTCAGAGGCCTGGCCGCCACACAGTCACATTTTGCTTTATCGCTTTCTGTGCTCCAAAAAGAATTTCCACATATCCTTCTGCCTGATGTCTAAGAAGAATTTGAATGAGAATGAAATAATCTGCTGTAAAATTCAGCCAGGGGTTTACTCTTTAACACACAACTATTTATGGAGATTTCTACAATAAAAAAAAATATCTCCATTATACGATATCGATGCAGGCAGTGTTTGTGTGGGTGTGGCTTAGGGCTGCAATCACAGACTGGATTCAGTGACATAGCCTGAAAAAGTGAAAGTCTTAAACCTGCATTCTTTTTAATGGCCAGCAGGGGGTGGAAATATAAGCCTACAAGCCTATTTGCAGATCTTCAGTGAACACTTTTTACCAGGAATATTTTAAATATAGCACAATCTTTAATTTCTAAATTGTAGTTTCATTGATAATAAAATAGTAAAGCAGGGCCTGCCTGTGGTTGGCTTGCTTCTTTCTTCAGCATTGAGTTTCTCAGACAGATCCTCCCATGCTTTTCATGACTAGTTTCAAAAACACCAAAACAGTAATGCCACTGGCCACAATGCTCACTTTTATATATAATCTAATGGTCTACTTTCCAGATTAAATTTATGCAAATTTTGATTTTATACAGAGTAAATAGAAAGTCAAAGATGCAAAGTGATGCAAATACAATATTTCAAATATTTTAAGAACAGGTAAAAAAAAAAAAACCATCATGCTTGGCAGTAAAAGCCTGTGTGCAGTACAAACTTACTGCTGCTTGTACACACCTGCAGCTGAAAGATTTACCTTTGCTTTAATGTAGAAAAACAACAACAACAAAAGAAGATGTCAGTTATTGGTTGTAACTGTATTTGTGAAAGATACAAAAGGCAAAACTTTGGTCTGAACACTGTATTGTTGAAACATTTATTGGCATTAGTGATTTATCTAATGATTATTTTGTTGTTGTTTCTTCTATAAAATATTAAAAAATACAAAATCCTGTCACACAGAAAGTTTAAGAAGATAATGTGAAGAGTTTTTGTTAATGTACTGATTAGCTGACAAACTATTTGACCTCTAATATGTTTTATATCATTAAATAGAATGAGCAACAATACAGATGTTTAATCCTTGTTGCATATATTAAAGTAATGATGAAAAAAAAAGCCCAGCAGCCCAGAGTTTTCATTGCCTTTCACTATTATGCAGACACGATGGAGGTATGTAATGTAATGCAGATGTGACATGTGATGATTTAATGTGATCAGCTAGCCAAAGGACACTGATATAACCTGATTATGCACGAGTCCTGAGTCACTCTGTCAATACTTGCAGAAAAATGTAAAAGAAAACACATCAACCATTCTCACTTACATCAGTTTGCTGAATCTGGTTTATCACCTCATTTTCTCTTTCCCCAGACTCCCTCTTTTTGTTCGTCATTTCTTTTTTGCTGTGGCAGGATTGCGGTTTAAAGCAAACCTCGACAAACACCAAGGCACTTAGACATGGGGCAGAGT